ATGCCTGATTAAAAATAACATGTTAATGTAGCAACATAACTATAATAATTTCGAAATGACATAAATTAAAACATATGGATTTGAAGTTTTTGAAAAGTTTTACATATCTTTGAATGTGTAAAACTTTTTTTTAATATATATATATATATATATATATATATATATATTAGTTTTTACTATTTATTGCTGAAAATATTTTATTCATTTAACGCATAAAACAATTTTTTTATTTAAAAATTTGCTATATATATATATATATATATAGGACCAATATCTCAGTTTTGTACTTTAAGTGTTTCTATTAGAGTTATTGTTCACAATCTGTAATGAGATGATAGAGCAAAAATCACTCTTTCAATTACTTTCAGTTATATGGCGAATGTCAGCAAATTGACAAATGATCTGCAACTTGCAGCATGAAACAACAAGTTTGCAGTATCAATAAATACTATGAATATATATATATATATATATATATATATATATATATATATGTATATTCATAGTATTTATTGATACTGCAAACTTGTTGATTTAAACAATTGACACTACTACTGTTAGTTTTAATAAAAGATCTCGGATGATATTATGATTTATAAAAAAAATATTCACCATTTAAAATATGTAACAAATTTTACATGGTGTAGAGCTAAATTATACAAATAAATTAAAATATTAGCTTTAACATTTAAAACATCTTTAAATGTAAAGTAAATTATTTGTTTCTTATAAAAACTTTGTTTTATTATTTAATTGTTCGGGAATAATCAACAGAAAATAATTGTTCATTAGTACCAAATTATTGGTTTTTAAAATTATAATTTAAGTTTCGCAGTATAAAATGTTAAAATATTTCATTCCAAGCAATTATTTTCTTCTTAATTACCATAAAAAGTTAAATTACCATAAATACTTTTATGTGATTGCATATTTTCAATATTTTTCGTTAATGAAAATGGAAGTTTTACACATACTATAAAGTATTAAATTTTATACAACATTTTTACAGATGATCCCATTGGTGGTAAGTAATTAACTTTCTTCTGGTAATAATGCTTAATTTTAATAATATAGTAATCTATTATTGATTTTTTAATCATAGATGCTTAGCATTATGTTTTACTTATTTATGCATTTATCATGTAATTTGCAATAATTTTTATAATTGCAGCTATTGAAAATGGACGTGAGTATCATTACTTAACCATTTTAATATTTAGAAATGTGATTAAACAAATTATTCAAATTCAGATTTAAATCAAAGATTTAAATGTGCATTTGAATATTGAAAATTAATTATTGCAAATGAGGTATTTTTAATACATATTATTTGTCATTGAAACAGAAAGTTTTAATAAAACAAGTAATATATAAAAAAAAATTTGTCAAGTCAATTCCTACTTTTTTTCCCCTCTATTGCAGAAAAGTCCTTTACAAATAAAGTTGAAAATTTCCTATGATATCTGGCGCCATCTATTGGTAGTTACATGCAACTTAAATCGAAAAAAATGTAAATTAATTAATTAAATTTAATTAATTAATTAATATTTGAAAAAAACTGCATTAATATCAAGTGTCATCCACTACAAGTTCAAAAAAATGTATTTGAACTTCAGTGGATGAATAAAAAGTATTTTATGTACGATTGAAAATTTGTACAAGATATATATAGGGAGAGAGTGTGAACTAATAGTAGTTTTATTCATCCACTCAAGTTCAAATACATTTTTTTAAACTTGTAGTGGATGACACTTGATGTTGATACAGTTTTTTCAAATGTTAATTCATTAATTAAATTTAATTAATGGAAAATTGCAAGGAAATTCGCTTTCTATCGTGCCAATTAATATTGTGATTCTGTCATATGTATATACGTATTTATATTAATTGTAATTATTTAATAAAAAGTAACTAAAATAAAAAAAATTTTTGTTGACCTAAGTAGGAATTGACTTAAATTTTTTTTTTTTATATTACTTGTTTCCTACATTTTGTCAGACAGAAGAATGAATAACAGAAGAATAAAAGTGTAAAATTGAGCTGAGTACTTATGCAATCCTTCTGCTTTAAACCAAATAAAATGATATACATTCATTTTTAGAAAGGATATATGTGTTATCAGTTTTCGAAGAATCTATTTCTAATCATTTGATCGCCTATTATCATAATGAATGACATGAATTATTTCTTTTTGATATCCCAATAACATCTGTAAACCTTAAGATTGAAAAGCAAGATGTTTATGAAAGCAACATAAATTTTAAATTGTGATATTCATAGATGTATTTGATTTCTATATAAATCTCCAATTCTTTCAAAAAATTCAGTGGTGGGTGTCATTTTGAAACACATTATAGTTTATAAATTTTTTATGGATTAATTAATAAATGTAAGTTATTGATGTTGCACATTAAGTTATAAATGTATTTATTTGAATCGAAATAGTCAATTTATATTTTTAATAATGTTATCTATTATAAAAAATCCATTATCTATTATTTTTAGTGGCTGAAATCCTCAATGGTATGTATGAAATTATTTTTTAACTTCTCAAATCACAAAACTAATGCTTACTACTGTGTCCAAAAAGTAAGACCCCTTTTCAATTTAAAATTCCCGGGAATTATGGAATTTCAATTTTTTTCTTTCTTAGGTTGCTAGGAGTGTCCTTGATATCAGTGTGAAATTTGACGTAAAAATATACATTAGTGTTTGAGTTTATGCTTTGTGAGATGCTAAAACTGATTCCGGCGAATTTTGAAATGTCTGAATTATTTGAGCAAAGAACTTGCATTCAATTTTGTTTGCGGAAACGTATATAATGTCGTATATAACGTCTATATCGGAAAGAAATGCTTAGAAGTGGTATAAACAGTTCAAAGAAGACAGAGAACTCGTTGGAAACGAAGAACCCTCTGGCCAACCCTCAACTTCACGTCCAAAAAATTAAAGTTTTGGTGCTTGCAAATCGTCGATTTACAATTAGAGACTTTGCTAATGATGTTGGAATTTCAAAAGGATGGTTAAGTCCATTTTGGGACTCAAATGCGTCAAATCTCGATTGATACCAAAAACACTGAATGCGCCAGCTCACACTGCATTGATTCTTCGTGACTTTTTCACCAAAAATAAAACCTATATCCTTCCACAACCATCGTTTTTACACCGTGCGACTTCTGGCTATTTCTTAAACTTAAAAGACCACTCTGGGAAAATTTTATTCTGTTTACTAAAAAAATTTTTTTAGCAAACAGAAGAAAATTGGTTGAATATTTAATCTCAGTTGAAATCAAACGAGTTATTTTTTCAAAATTATAACATCAATAATAAAATATTTGTCAGCTTCCTCATTTTCTAAAATCCGCAAGAAGTTTTGTAGTGTCGTTCAATTTCTATATTATTTTACTCATAATTTCCAATTTATACAATAAACAGTTAAAATTTGTCCATATATCTTACTTGTTTTCTAGTAGAATATAATATGATCATCTTTTATCTAATGTTGTTTCATAATGCCAAGCAATAATCAAATTATTATGTAGTGGAAATGAAACATATATCAGTGGAGCTTGACGATAACGAAATTTACTAGAAAATTGAAAAACACCGTATTCAGACAGTGCGACTTCCCTATATTCGAAAGACCACTCCAGAGACACCGTTTTGAGTCGATTGAAGAGATTCAACGTGAATCCAAGGCCATCCTTTCCGATAACTTTTTAGCATGCATTGAGGATTGGAAAAAAAGTTGGCATAAGTGCATTGTGTCCGGAGGCGATTACTTTGAAGGCAATGAAATAAATTTGGAAGAATAAATAAAGAGCTTTTGAAAAAAAAAATTGGTCTTACTTTTTGGGCACAGTATTATTACACTCCTCCAAATACTCCTGTGGCTCCTGTAGGAGGCGGTATCACCCACTTTGGGGGCAAATGCTTTATGTGATTGATGAATGGCTTATCCGTGATAAGTTGAATTAAAATATGCGAAAAAAAATTATAATTTATTTTTACAATAATTTTTATGTAGTTTCATTCTTCATAATGCAAAATCAAATGTAATTTTTTTATTGTAGAAGCTGCTAATGGAGGTATGAAATTAAAACTGTTTTGCATTTTTTTTTATTTAATTTAATGTGAAATTCTTTTACAATAATCCATATTTATAGAATATGCTATTAATTCTTTATTTATTCTGTCATAGCTGGAGGCTTAGTAGATGGTGAGAGTTTGACAATTTCGTTTAAAACGCTAGAATGCTATTCATTTTGAATTATCTAAAGATTCAAAAGTTACATAACACTTCCATTAAGGAAACTAAATTTAATTTTATCTAATCAATTTATTTAATTTTATCAATGTACTATTTCGAAGAAAAATCACGATCTTAGCCTAGAAATGAAATTCATTTTAAAAGAAAATAAATTTGTGTTATGAATTCTGGAATATTAATAACATATTGTAATCTAATATCCGAAAATTGAATACTCAACTTATACACAATAATGAATTATACACATTTTTATAGTATAAACTTAGGATTTCTGTGTAGCAAAATAAAAGAAACATTCAGTATAGTTCAATGAAACATACTCTCAAAAATATTTTAATTGCTGTCGAAGGAAATCGTATTCTACATGATTTCATAAATATGAAGTATTTTTTGAAAATAATAATACTTGCAAAACAAGAAATAATTAAAGAAGATCCTTTAATCTCCCTTACGAGCATTGAAAAACCATAAAAAGGGGGGAAAAAATGCTTGAAATATATTCTAAACTAATAACATTTATTATTATATTGGATTGGAGCATAATTATCAGGCGTTCTTATAAATAGTCGTTTTGTGCGGTCTTTTCGTCTCGATTTCAGCGTGAAGGCGGTCGAGTTGAGCCAGATAGACATCGCTGTTGATGCTGAATTGCCACTTGTCGTTTTTGTTTGGAATCTGACAATGCTGAAGGTTATCGTCGCCGTTCCACCAATAAGAAATCCCGTATGCCAACGGCCGTACCATGCTGAATATACCGGTTCTCGTTAGATCACCGAAGTCAAGCATCATTGGGCGCGGTCAGTACTTGGGTGGGTGACCACCTGAGGATGGATGTTTGTAGTGGTTCGGAATCCACTTTAAGCCGTAGGTCCCGGTCTTCTATGACTGTAAGAGCGTCACGGAGCAAAAGTCAGGCTTCTACCTACGGGTGCTCCATCGCAACAGAAGCTGCTTCCTTCCCCTTCAACCATGAGTACGTATGGGCTCGCGGGCTTGGCCAGCCAAGTGGGATAAGAAACAACAACAACAAATCCCGTATAAGATGATTTCCCAATGGATGATTTCGCTTCCGTCCCACCAAACACACCACATTGCCTTCTTATGTGCACGTCCTTCGTTATTCATTTTGATGACACTCTTGGCGAAATTCAGGCATATTGAAGTTGTCGGCCAGCATTCAAGCTGTCAAGTTTTCGTCCCCTTCCAAGGCTGCAGAAAATGCCTGGTCGTCGAAATCCGATAGCCGACATCTTCCTGCCTTGTCTTTTAGGCTAGCGTCGCCAGATTTGCAAACATTCCCTGTCGATTGTGCCCCCATCGAAAAGTTCGTTGAGTTCGCTAAATGACTGCACTACTTTCCAGCCTTTCTCAAAGTGGTACAGCATAATATGACGAATATGAGTATGATTATAGACACATTTTATTTTGATAACCTAAAAGTAGAAGGATATTTTAGTTCATAAATTTATAAAATATTGTACATTTTTACTAAAATACTGAATGTCAAAGAAACGCCTGATAATTATGCACCAATCCAATAATAATTAATAATTGCCACAAAATTACGGAACAAATCAGAAATAGTAAGAAATATCAATTAAAAAAATTTAACTTAGAAATTAAACTGATTATTTAAATCTAACATAAATTGATCCGTTGCTAGTAAAAATTAGGATTAAAAGGATAAAATTAATTAGGATTTTCAATAAAGTGTTTTCTAGTGTAATTATTAATTAGTCATTATTAATATTAATCTTTTCAACAAATTTTATGTTGTGCTATATATTACATTTAGATATTGCTAATGGAGGTAAGTTTTATTTGTATTTTTTTATCATTGAAAATTTAGTATTCTGTTCTATTTAGTAAAATTTGATCGTTATATATTATTCGCTAGTATGGCAGTAGGTAAAATGGTAGTAAAATTGTAATCATATGGTATATCTTGATTTCTCTACTGGCTTGTGAAGACAACATATTATAAATTTTATTGCATTTATATTCTGATGATCAAAAGAGAATTTTCACTTTTGAACGAATATTCACAGAGTTATATGACAGATTTTAATAAAATTAGTTATGCACGTAAGATGTAATAAAAAAGGCAGGCAGCAGTTCTGGCAAAAAGGCAGACAGCTGCTTACATGATGGAACGTACGAGATACATACGATGGTACGTTAGAGCCTGAATGTCTGAAAAGAGCAAAAACTACCGATACAAATTGGCTAATAGGAGATATAGTCCTGACATACTATTATACGACACTCATAACATGGATTCATCACAGCAGTGAAGATTGGATCTGGAAAGTGGAAAAAAAATTCAATTACCCCCTTTAGAATGGCCTACACTTTCTCTATAGAGTTAAATTCCAGAAATATAGTTAGCCAATTCTTACAATAAATAACAGGCGGGCTGAACAGTTCGTAGGCTGACACATAGATAGCGCTACTAGTATTAAATCCATATGATTTTAGTTAGCCCTAACCTTCAAAAGACACGTGTATAAATTTGACAGCTGTTGCACTATTAGTATGTGAGTTATAGCATTTTTAGTGAAGCAACTTTAGTTCGTTTGAAAAAATGGATAATCAAGGAATTTCGCGTATTAATAAAGCATTGCGTTTTGGCGGAAAAAAATACTATTGAAGAAAAGGCTTCGTTTGATAAACATTATTCGGACTTTGCACCAGGAAAATCAACCGTAGAGAAGTAGTTTGCTAAATTTAAACGAGGCGAAATGAGCACCGATTACGATGCACGCAATGGACGCCCCAAAGAGGCTGTTACCGACGAAAACATCAAAAAAGTCCACACAATAATTTCTGATAACCGTAAAGGGACGTTGATTGAGATAGCTGAGACCCTAAAGATATCAAAGGAACGTGTTGGACATATCATGAATGAATATTTGGATATGCGAAAGCTCTGTTCAAAGGGGGGGCCGCGAGAGCTCACAATCGACCCAAAACAACAACGAATTGATGATTCTAAACAGTGTTTGGAGCTGTTCAATCGAAATAAACCCGAATTTTTGCGTCGATATGGGACAATAGAGGAAACATGGCTCCATCATTTCACACCGGAGTTCAATCGACAGTCAGCCGAGTGGAGTGCACGTGATGAACACTAAAAATGCTATAACTCACATACTAATAGCGCAACATCTGTCAAATTTATACACGCGTGTTTTGAAGGTTAGGACTACCTAAAAATCGTATGGATTTAATACTAGTAGCGCCATCTATGCGTCAGCCTATGAACGTTTCATCCCACCTGTTATTCCCATTTTCTATAAATTAATCCGTCAGATAAGTCCTTCAGTAAGTGAGGTATTGTCCGGTAAAATGTAATTAGATCCAATTGAATTCCTGGGAATTGAATATTGGGTCAAAATCTTATCCTTTTACTTCATGGCAGTCACATGATTTCTGCCAAAAACATGAAGGTTTGTGCACCCATCCAACTTTATACCTGTCTTGGCTATCAAACCTTCATTGATATTGTAGTCTTTCTTTCTGATTGGAATTCAGGTAGCTTTCCCCCTGTTTCTCTTCACATGAATGTATGACAAGAATCAGTATTTAGGGTGAATTGGGATTCATCAGTAAATAGAAAATATACTAGTGATATAAATATACCTTGATAATTATTAAACTTAGAGGAAGGAACAAATTAATTATACTGTTGATATTCCGGAAATCGTCTCGTTTTTGAAACTGATAGTTAATATTTAAATAAATGCTAATATCATATTTAACACTAAAGTTATTAATGTTGGATACATTAAATCTATTTAAAAGAATTGTTGTCTTGATTTAAACATTGTGCATTCTACAATAAATCAATATAGATTAGATTTTGATTTTATTCATTTTTAAACTTATAATGAAGCGATTAACTTAGGTCATATTTTTATTAATTTACATGAAGAGTATTTGCAGTTGTTATATTTTTTCTGATTAAAATGTAACTGAATAAAAAGTATTCATTTGTAATTTTTTTATGAAATATAACTTTAAATTAGTTTTCTATGAATTGTTTTAGTTTTGTTGGCATTAAAAAATAAATTTCATAAACCGTTAACACAAAATGAGTTTTTTCAAAAAAATGAATAAATAGCAATATGTCAAATATAGTATGTAATTTTAAATTTTTATAATGAAACAAATGTAATTTTCATGCAAACTCTTTATGAAACTATTTTCTGATCTTTTTTCGTTTTTGAATTATTCGTAATCATAGTAATTATTTACATAAATCTGAAACAATATTGATGATTTTTATTTTTATAATTTTCTTAGTTTCTGGTATTGCAAATGGTAAGCAGACTTTTTCACAAATTTTATAAAAAATTACAAAACTTATAAAGACACTTTTATTATTAAATATTATTTTGTGCATAACAGGAGGGCTGAAAAATTCATAGGCTAATACATAGATGGCGCTCTAGAATTAAGTCCATATGATTTTTAGTTAGCCCTAACCTTTAAAATGCACGTGTATGAACTTGACAGCTTTTGCACTATTAGTATGTGAGTTATAGCATTTTTAGTGAAGCAACTTTTGTTGGTTTGAAAAAATGGATAAATACGAAATTTCGTGTGTTAATAAAGCATTGTTTTTGACGAAAAAAAATATTATTGAAGCCAAGGCTTGTCTTGATAAACATTATTCGGACTTTGCACCAGGAAAATTAACCGTAGAGAAGTGGTTTGCTAAATTTAAACGAGGCGAAATGAGCACCGAGGACGATGGACTCAGTGGACGCCCCAAAGAGGCTGTTACCGACGAAAACATCAAAAAAGTCCACAAAATAATTTCTAAGATTTCTGATAACCTTAAAATGAAGTTGATTGAGATAGCTAAGACCCTAAAGATATCAAAGGAACGTGTTAGACATATCCTGAATGTATATTTGGATATGCGAAAGTTCTGTTCAAAGTGGGTGCCGCGCAGAGCTCACAATCGACCAAAAACAACAAGCTGTTGGAGCTGTTCAATCGTAATAAACCAGAATTTTTGCGTCGATATGGGACAATGGATGAAACATGGCTCCACCATTTCACACCGGAGTCTAATCGACAGTCAGGCGAGTGGACTGCACGTGATGAACACTAAAAAGGCTATAACTTCACTAAAAATGCTATAACTCACATACTAATAGTGCAACATCTGTCAAATTTATACACGTGTCTTTTGAAGGTTAGGGCTAACTAAGAATTATATGGATTTAATACTAGTAGGGCCATCTATATGTCAGCCTACGAACGTTTCAGCCCACCTGTTACAATAATAATTTTCCTTTCTAGACAAATAAAATTATCGAATGTTAGGATGAGGCGGTTCTGTTCTTGGAAAGAAATGAGAAAACTCATATTTCTTCACATATTTTGAAAAAAAAAGGTGAATTGTTAAAATCTTTGAATTTTTTTCAATACTTATCAATAATTGTGGTCATAAGTCTTATATGCATATATATATGATTGTGTTGTATTGTTATATATATAAATATATAGATATAATATTAAGTAATGCATTATGTACAGTGGTCACAATTTACTTTTTATTATTAAAAAGAAAACAAAAATGTTTTTTTATCTTAAAGATTGAAGGATATTTTTTTTATCTTAAACATTCTATGATTTTCTTTTAAATAATTTTTTTATATAAAAGAAAATCATTCAATCCTCCAGGAAAAAAAGTGGCATAGTTAAATTAATATAAATCGAAGAATCTTCTTAGTAACGTTATTTTTATTTCAGAATATCATTACATTTATCAATTTTTCTAATAGAGGAATAAGTTAGAAATTAAGAATGCCT